GTCAACTGTCCTGTTGTGCCAGGAACAACAACGCCCGGGGGGGGGTGAGCGGGAGCGAAGAACGTCATTGCGATTTCGGAGCATTTGTATTTGACGAATTGGCACCGCTTTCCTACAAGGATGATAACACGGAACTTTGGGAAATGTGAAAATTTTAGATGGTGTTCAAATCCGGGAACTTCATAAGTCTCTGACCGCCCCCTCCGCCCCTTCCCCTTTACGCTATTCTTGGCGAAGGTGGAAAGGTGATGGAAGTGCCAGATTCCATGTATGGTAAAACCAGCCGTGGAGGATTCCAGGCCTGTGCTAGAGGTGGGATTGTGGAGTTCAGGAATCGGCCCACTTGATGGCGAACCCTGAGAGGTGGTGCTTCAAGAAAATGTACAGGGCAAATGTATAGGTGCTACACTCCAAGACGACGAAGCTTTTATAGGCACAATTCTTCACTGTGGAATTTTGCACAGGTTTGACCCAATAGGTAATCGAATAAAGCGATCGCAATAAATCTTATCAACACCCACTCTTTCACAGACATTTCCGTTCGAAAATATTTGTGAGGCGCAAACACTAACTTGTGATTTTTGACTTTTACATAAATCCGTTCTATGCCGCAGAAAAAGGGCGCAACTCTCAGCCTACCTTGCATTTGGCTGGTACCAAAGCGGATCGTGTTTCTGAATTACACGTTTGGGGTCGTATTTGAGCTTTGTTGATAGAGGTGAGGGGATGGGTGGGGTAGACAAAACGCTCGCTTTAGGGGTGGCGGTTTGAATGAATATTCTACAATTAAGCTCGGTTTGATCATTTTTTTGTGAGCGGCATAAACCTCTTTGAAGCGCAGGTGTTATCCAGAATAAGTGCCTATCTCGCGGCACGAGAACTGACGCCAAGTGCCCTAGAGACATTGTTCTCGAATGGTCTACGCGGTGGAAGTCTCTTTCTCTCACATCTGCGGTTTGCTCCTACGTCGCAACACCCAGAGGCAGAGTCAGCCGTCACGTTGGACAAATTCCAAAAATTTTACGAGCCCCGTTCTGGGGCGGTATTCAATCCTTCCCCCAGGGGGATATATCCCCCTCCTCTGATTCAATCCTCTGGGGGGACAAAAAAGGGTTGCGTCATAGGACCTAGCATACCTCTGTGTTTCTACCTGCCAGACAGTTAGAGCAGCGCGACTACCCTCCACTGATGAAGCACTCTTTCCCCTGAGGGGTCGCGCTGCTCTAACTGTCTGGCAGGTAGAAACACAGAGGTATGCTAGGTCCTATGACGCAACCCTTTTTTGTCCCCCCAGAGGATTGAATCAGAGTAGGGGGATATATCCCCCTGGGGGAAGGATTGAATACCGCCCCAGAAGGCCGACGACTCCCCCACCCAACACCAATAAATATGAGTACAACATTCCCCCCCCCCCGTGAGACCGAATTGAGCATTGGAGCGTAGCGATTGCATTGGCGCGCCCAATCTTCCCTTCGGAGCAACGCGCAAAGACGAGGTTACACTGACTTCAAATTGTTTCAGGTCATTCATATTTTTGAATGGCACTAAGAAGATTTTAATCCCCATACAAGATTCACTAGTTTCCGAATAAAATTAATTTTTGCAGACACGTTCATAATCTGTCGGTTAATAGATGGTGGACTGCTACGTTGCTACAATGATGCTGTGAATACGAACCCCTCCCTCCCGTTGGCCAAATACAGCCCCCCGTTGGACTTTGTCCAACGGACGATTTGATCCTGCCCAGAGGTTTCTCGCACAATTGTTTTCTTTGTCTGTATATTCTCCGTCGTCTACATAGTTTTCGCCTGTTCTCCGGAATTTCGTTTCGATTTTATATTTTCCTTTTTTTTAAATTATTAGTCATGTGATCGGGTCTTCGCAAGTCCCAACACAGTCTCAAATAAGTTGCTGCGAACAGTTTTCTTCAATGCAATTCTCTCGTTGTGTTGGAATAGTCTGCTTTTACGATGAGAACATCACCATTATCTTCATTTTTATTGGAACCGAAATAAACGTGGCATAATGCTCACGAGAGCGACACCGTTGGTAGTACCACAGCTACACAAGAAACCACAAAGCTGTGGAGTGGTCCCGTATAGAATATGGTTCAAAAATTCTGTATCTATCGTTTACAAATTAGGAGAAGAACTGCAACCACAATCAGAGCGACCAATGCACCGGCCAAAATCCATCCCGCTATCTGAAATACTTATTTGCATCGTGTTTACCGGAAAAAACATTGCGTTGACAAACAGATGGTCACAAGGTGACAATATGCAACGCATCTGCCTTTACAGACCATCGTGGCTCACCGCGACGGTCCGTAAAGGTGTCTAAGTTGCTGTTGTTGTCAGCCTGTGATCCACTGTTCCAAGACACTTCAACTGCAAGTGGCTTCGCTTACGGTGACTTTTCCACAGCAATCGCCCAAAGTAGCTCCACAACAGTACTGTTCCCAGACGCCGAACGATTGGCACTCATTGACCAAACATGACTGAAATCCAAGATGTACAGTACAGTAGCATAAACATGGAATACCGCACCCTTTTATCTATTGGGAAAGAATTCCGGCATTGTAGAATGTTCGACTGAAGCGCTTGCTCAGGTGTTCTTCACTGATTTCCTCACAATTCCTGAAATTGAGCTCAGGCTAGTGGGTGATCTTCTAGAAGCAGTGGCCAGCAGCCCATAACTAACGGTATACAACCTACCAGGAAGAGCTGCTGGAGTTGACTGCCACCCACATCGAAAATTGATGTGGCTACAATATCAACATCATACCATCATTGATACCATCATACCATCATATCATCATTGTACACGTTCACGCCATCAGGTTATCTCACGATAGTGTATTTGGTTCTGTAAGGGGTGATAGACAATGTATTGGGTCGATCAGGAAGTAACCACCGTTTTGCACCTCAGATGAATCCTTTCGCGGAAAAATCATGATTCTATTTCAGCCATAAATCACTGGCTTGAGACTCATTATCCACGATAAGAATGAAAAGAACAGAAATATTGCTTTTGTTTTGGTGAAAAAAAATGAAAAAAAATTCGAAAAATCGAAAAGGGCTGCTACGCGTTCAAAGTGCCCACGGACGTCTTTCACAAATGCTGGCGACGGGGATGCTTCCACTTGGTTCTTGGCTGCACGTCCTCCATTAGAATCCTTCTTTCATCCCCCCCTCAAAGGCAAAAGTCGGGCTCAATAAGGGGGTATTATGGCGATTGAAACTGAGTATAGAGATGCGAAGTAGAACGACAGTGGAGAAAAAACTGAGAAAAACCGTCGACAAGGCCGTTAACAAAACCCTCTTTCCCACTAGCAGTGAAGGAGGCTGGCTTGGGGAAGAGGCACGTACAAACAAGTTTTCTGAAGATATCAGTCGTTCTATCGGTTGATACGGCAATCAACCTAGCTGATTTCACACGTTATGCCAGCCATGCACCACATCCCAAGGTGGGCGGTCGTAGCGGGGCCAGGCGGCGATAGCGCATAGTACATGCCCTGGGGCCTTATTACTGCGCCGTTTCGGGTTTTGAGTGTGGGGGGGGTGTGGGAAATCTACCGTGCGTAACGCACAGTAACAAGCATTACGAAAATTAATTCCGACCATTGCCTTTAACGGGTGCGTGACTATTCAATCGTGGCGATGGCTAGGTCGCCGCGCCAGCCGCCGCAGCCCGCGATGCGACGTCGGCCGTGGCTAGAATTCAGGGTTCTAGCATTGGGGAATGTAGGATTAGATGAAGTTCCCAGTCGTGAAACACGGTATATGATCACCTGCCCCTTAAATACAGGATCCTTGTCCTTTGCCATTATTACAAACTTATTCTGTCATACTGATGTTAATGCCTTCCTCACCGTTCCACTGCGTAATATTTTTCCGATTTAGCCAGATTATCGCTCTCTGATAACAATTCAGGCAGTTGATTAATAAAGAAGTCTCATTATGTTCAAAAGGACAACCTTTACATGGCACAAGCTCTGTACAGTGAGGCTTAAATAACTGCGGAGATCTTAAGGTGACGCTTGTTGGCTCACTGATGTCTGGAACTTTGGTCTTATCAGTTCTCTAACCCCACCAGCAACTTATGGACAAGGACCGTTAAGAAAAGGTCCACACAAAAATCGCCGCACCAACTGCCGCGCGCGACGATTGCTCGCCGCGTGAGCGGCGTGACCTCATTAGCCGACGATTGAATTGACCGTCTCCCACTTTGGCTTACTACATTCACATCTCACACTTCTACTCATCCTATTCTATCGATCGATTTGTCTCTACTCTCCGAAATCGCGCGCTTAACCCGATTCTTTCATTGCGTCGCCTGATACGTAGCCGGCCAAAGGCCAACTTCTTTCCATGCCTCGCCTTTGGCTCCGCCCGAATTACCTTCGATGTCCATAGAGTGTAGTTTTTGTACGTTTGTTTCTCTTCGGAAACCGAATCTTCATGCGTGAAACTTTGTGTGCTGTTTCCAGTGATCACAACTGACACATTCATGTCAAGAAAGAATGCAAGAATTTTCCGCGAAGGATTCCTTTAAGCTCACCTCACCCCTTACTTTCATGAAGACCACGGGCGGTAGTGCCGCTGCATGTTCATTTGAAATTACAAAACTCGAGAAAAGATGCACAAAAAAGATGAAGAGGCCGTCCCTAAAATAGAGGATCATGAAGAAGAAATTACGCGAGCTTACCGTACCTCTAAAGTTACCGTGGTATAACCGTGGGCAGTCGAACGGATGCGAAACGGAAGAAAAACAGTCAATCTGTTTCTAGAACCGCTATAAAAAAGGACACCTCGCCCATGATGGTGCGTGTAGATCTGTTTGCTTCCACTCACTTCAACAGAAGGGCTTATTTTAAGCCGATATTAACTCATCGTGGTGGGAGAAGAATAAGTTCATTAGTAAAGGCTATCCGAAGAATCTTACGTGCATTTATGAAGCGATCTGAAGTTCGAGTTAATCAAGGTTCCTGACAGTCAGGTACCGTACAAACATGTGCAAAACCACCATTATAAGACTGGAGGCGGAAATATAGCGATAGTCGTTGAGTCTCAAGCTCTACCATCCTCTTTGTACGTGTTAAACCGACAAGCCACCATCCCATGATGGAGGCTATCGGTGTAAGGTGTACAAACGATTCCTTAGCTGGTTGCCAGCTCGTCCATTATCGAAGGTCAACGGGCAGAGAAAGGACGTCCTTGACGGATTCCTTTCCTTCTTTTCACTAGGACGTTATTCAGTATCTCCACTTCCACTATGAACCCAACTCGATCTTATCGTGATCGCTCGCTTTAAGGCCGCGTTCATAGTTCGCGACTCCGGAGATTAGGATAGTACGCGACAATGAAAAACATATGTATTGACGGGGAGATTAGGATAGTAGTAGATTAGGATAGAGTAGAGGAGATTGCGCTGACAAGATTAGATACGTATCGATTGAAATCGCTGGAGAGTAGTAGATTGCGATATTACGATAGTAGGATAGTAGTAGAGTAGGAGATTAGGATAGTGCGCTGACAAGATTAGATATGTATTGATCTATTCGCTTGAAGTCGCCCAATCTACTACTCTCCAGCGATTTCAATCGATACGTATCCAATCTTGTCAGCGCAATCTCCTACTCTACTACTATCCTAATATCCTGTCGCCTACTATCCTAATCTCCCGAGTCGCGAACTATGAACGCGGCCTAAGGGGCAAAACGGCGTATTTCTGATCGATCCAACACCACCCCTTACAGAACCAAATACATAATCGTGAGATAACCTGATGGCGTGAACGTGTACAATGATACAATGTTGATAAAAATCATAGCCATATCAATTTTTGATGTGGGTGGGGCAGTCAACTCCAGCCGTTCATCCTGGTATGTTGTGCATCGTTAGTTATGGGCTGCTGGTCACTGCTCCTAGAAGATCACCCACTAGCCTGAGCTCAATTTCAGGAATTGGTTAGGAAATCAGTGAAGAACACCTGAGCAAGCGCGTCAGTCGAACATTCTACAATGCCGGAATTCTTTCCAATAGATAAAAGGGTGCGGTCATTCC